TCAGGGAAGCTCATCTGCATGCTCGTCGTCTTCATCGGGGTCTCGACCTACCTGCAGCTTTGCACAGCCATTGAAGAGGAGTGGACCAACATTCCACAGGCCACAATCAACAACCAGATCAACTCTATGCGAACGAGGTGTGTTGCACTGCGTGAGGCAAATGGTGGTCACACCAGATACTGACTGGTTTCCGGACCCCCCAAATAAAGTGAAACTGCACATTTTCGAGTGGCCTTTTATTGTGGCCAGCCTAAGGCACACCTGTGCAATACCCATGCTGTGCGATTAGCATCTTGATAAGCCACACCTGTGAGATGGATGGATTATCTCAGCAAAGGATAAGTGTTCACTAAACAGATTTTGACAAATTGAACTCACAGATCTGAGACAGATTTGTGAACAATATTTGAGAGAATTGGGCCTTTTGTGTACATAGAGAAAGTCTTAGATCTTTTGTTCAGTGTATTTCAATGTTTCTATTTTGTTTTAGGGGTTAGGCTGGAAATTGAGAATTTTTTGTTTTAATCAGAATTTTCTTATAGTAAACACATTTGACAAAATAACTAAAACCCACAGTTAAAGTGTGTGTTTTTTTTTATTTCATTAAGAGATGTCATTTATCAGGTTATTAATTATTACTTCACTGAACTGACCTCCTTCCACAAAAGCCTGCCAAACAAGAACGCTGATATTGATGATTCTGCAAAACCCCAGATGCATTTTAAGTTGTTGTTTTTTTATTCTTGCTTTCAAAAATATCTGTCTATGACAACTGAAGTATAGTTAAGATTCAAGAAAGACTGGTTAGTGTATAGTTAAAAATATTGGTCACATGCCTATTAACTGTATGTTATGTTCAAATGCAATTTGGCACAGCTAATGAGATAACCACTCATGGTTACCATGCCCAGGACATCATGGGGCATAGTAGCCATGTCCTTCACCCCCAGTTCCAGATGTTCCCTCTCAGGCACTTCCTATCCCTCCCTACAAGCTCTACCAACCAATGCGCAGCATCGTTCATTCCAGAAGGCGTCCACCTGGTGAACACAGAACTGAAGGACAATACTGTGCTCTGTCTGGAGCTTGGCACATTAAGTAAACAAAGATCTGTGAAAGAAGTGGACTATTTCTTCTTTTTTTTTTTTTATGCAATTGCTCAATTAGCAACATTTTCCCAAACAGTTCTCTTGCTTGTAGGCCTAATTGTCTGTTTGTTTATTCTCAGTTATAATTTTTGCCCCAAATCAAATTGCCTGTATGATTAATAAAATTGAGTCAAATTGAATTGTGACAGAAACACAACACACTTTCTGTGGAAAAATGTGACATGACAAACAGCTCAAAGAAATGTTGCCATACCTCAACCTTCAACACACTTAACTGTAGGTTTGTGATGGCACCCAAACTAGTCACACTCGCAACACACCCAACCTCTTCTTATCTTCCAGAACACTGACCCTCGGCATCAGACGCAAATTACAAGATATGGATTTGTCTAACATGAAATGATTGCTAGGAATACTTGGTTGATCCAACTACAATAATCGCTTCTGCAATTGCCCATCTATTCATAATAATACAACATTTCTGGTATACATTTACAGTATGTCCATGTGAAAACAACACACTACAAAAACATAGGCATAGATTAATTCAAGCAAAGTGTACTACTGTAACCTCCGCTGACCTTTTTTGTGATGTTTTTGTAAATACTATCAGAAATGCAGTTTTGCAGTATATATGCAGCTATAGATTACATTTAGTTGTTTGTTTTGGCATGATTTAGTTTATCCATGACTGTCATTTGCAGATATCAAAAACAGGAACTATGTTGCATGTTTATTTTGTGTTTTTTACAACTCCTCTCTGGACACTGACATATTCAACATTGTAATGCACAGCTTTACAACAAGCTGTCTCCCTTGTGACTTTCAGCTTTGGAGTCCAGAGCATCTCTTTCCCTTTGACACTGTTTGCCATTCAGGCTGTAATTGTCACTTGCTCAAGGCTTTTAAAACCATCAAAAGCTTCTCAGTGCTGGGGTGCATGACAGTATATCTCAGCTCTCATCAGAACATTGGGCTGCCAGAGAACTGCCCTCCAAGAGCTAATCCAGCCCCCCGAGGTGCTGTTCCAACCAAACTAATTATTCTGTGTAACCACACCAGCTGGAATACAGCCCTGCTGCTGGAAAATACAGGTTTAGAGTGAAACATTACATGTGATTCCTATCTCTGACCTTCTTCCTCCCATTCCTACTGACGTGGATGACGTACTATGCTGTTTTTTTTTCTCTTTGTCATACTAACCTTTTTCTTGAGCTCCTGCCATCATTTAAAATCTGATTGACTTTTTATGTTTGCTGACTTGGGTGTGATATATGCAAAATGGAGTCAGCAGGGTGATTCATGGAGCATCTTTTAGCCCTGAAGTCTTGACCATCCCTGGGCCAGCAAATATATCAAGAGCTTTCCAGTTTGTGTTCAGCTCTCAGAGGAAATAGGCTCCCTGGGGCTTGGAGGCCATCTCTTGATCCTGTGGGATACCAAGGATTTACGGGGACTCTAGTGATTAGCAGAGGGGAAATGGGAAAACAGGGCAATTGCTGCCAGCAGTTTCACATCAGAAGAATATGGACAAACACACACTCATTTGTCTGTGTGTGCGTTCACACAATATACACTAAGATGCAAGCAGGCACACACAAGCCTGTGCATCGCTTGCAAACAAAATGCAATAATATGTATTCCTATTGTAATACAAAATACGTTCTGCCTCTGTTCATGAAAAATTTTAAAGGTTATAAACGGCTGCCACTTGTTTTTGTAAACTCAGCATATGAATATGCATCCCTTTCTAACCTTGGAAATCAGCATATCCCCACAAATCATACCTCCTTGATATTGAAAATGACTGTAGGAGTCCCACAAGTCCTGTCTAGCCTTGAAGATGAAGCACTTAAGATAGACTATTCCAAACAAAACCCCACTTCACTACCAACCACTTGCCACAATGTAAGCATCTTATGTAGTTAACTGTACTTGTGTAGAGAGCTGGCATTTTCTTGATCTTATCCCTAATTTAAGAGGTAGGGTTAGGCTGGGATCAG